AGTGGTTTTCTGTGGGTGTTTCTTCCTTTTAACCAACTGCACCACATGCTTCTGATTTCAAAGCAGATTTTTTTTCTCTGCCACTTTCACGTTTTATGTCTTTACACTTCTAGAAGTCCCTTAGTTGAAATTCCATGAAAAGGGTGTGAAGTGTGGATTTAGACCTTGCTTAGATTCTGTTAGGAGGTTGAGTGCTTGTGCAGGCTGGGAGAGCATACACTTCTTTTCAGGAGGCAGGTAAAGGGAGCAGGTGGGATGAGGCAGAAGACTGGTCAGAAAGAACACTTTTCTCCCCATGAGGCTTTCAGTTAGACAGAAGTAGTAAGGACGATTGTGAAGTTCTTGTGAGAAGAGAGAACACTGTTCCTTTGAAATTAAAACTCAATTTTTCCTGATTTTTCATGTTGGCTAAAACAGGCCAGGAAACGGGCTTTTCCTGATTTCTTTTTTCCTGTCGTACAAAAACATAATGATTAAATTTGGAAAAGTACTTTGCGGTTTTCAAGGGACTTTGTTATTCACAGTAACTGCAAAGATCCCCCTGTTTTAGATGAGAAGGGAAACTGAGGTATGGAGAAGGAAAGGAACAGGCGAGAAGTAACAAAGATGAGTAAAGTATTGGTAATTTCTTTTCTCTGGGAGTTCTAACAATCTAACAGGCTTGTACTTTAAGACGTTTCTAGATAGCAGATTCTCACACCTAACTCACTGTATCTTCCAAACTTGTCTAACTATAAGAATCAGCTGGTGTGCTTGTTCATATACAGATTCTTAGGCCCATCCTCTAGTTATTCTGATTTCAGTTGATCTGGGGTGATCTAGGAGTCTGCTTTTTTTAACAAAGTCATGTGGGGATTCTTATCTCTTGGCATGTTTGGGAAATTTTACATAGCCGGCAGCTGAAGTGCAGATGGAAATAAGTTGTCCAAGGTCATACAATCTGAACTCCCTGATCCCCACCTGGTGTCTCTGGTCCCTAAGTCCACATCCCCCTACCACCCACTGCTCCACAGCTGCCTTCCCAGGGACACAGAGTTTGTGGTCAATACTGGATAATTCTGCCACGTCTTTATTCTCATGTCTTCATCAGCTACTACGTATGAAGCTGTCCAGAAACGAGGGATTTTGAGGGTGAGTGAGAGAATGAAGAAGACAGACACAGGCATAAGAGACAAAAAAAACCTCAATGTTATTAAAAATGCAAGTAGGGGTGCACACCTGTAGCCCTAGTTACTAGGGAGGCTGAGACAGGAGGATTGCTTGAGCCCAAGAGTTTAAGGCCAGTCTGGGCAACATAGTGAGCCCACCTCAAAAAAGAGAAAAAATCACTACAACCATAGAGGTACAGTAAATTCTAAATCTAATTGCCATATTAAGAGGCATTCATTCTCCATTCCCTTCATAAAACCTACTTATTAATGCCAGTCACACTAAATATTCATAACCAATAGGCTATGCACTAGTACAAAAGTCTCAAAAGTGGAGAGTAGCCAAGCACAGTGGCTCACACCTGTAACCCCAACACATTGGGAGGCCAATTCAGGAGCATTGCTTGAGCCTAGGAGTTTGAGATCAGCCTGGGCAACATGGTGACACCATGTCTCTAAAAAAATTTTTAAAATTAGCCAGGCATGGTAGCACATGCCTATAGTACCAGCTATGAAGGGAGGCTGAGGTGGGAGGATCACTTGAGCCCGGGAGTTCAAGGCTGCAGTGAGCTATGATCATGCCACTGCACTCCAGCCTGGGCAACAGAGCCAGACTTTTTTTTTTTTTTTTTTTAAGAAGAAAAAAAAAAAGGCTGGGCACAGTGGCTCACGCCTGTAATCCCAGCACTTTGGGAGGCCTTGGTGGGCAGATGAGCAGGCAGTTCGAGGCCAGTCTGGCCAACATGGAGAAACCCCGTCTCTACTAAAAATACAAAAATTAGCTGGGCGTGGTGACGCATGCCTGTAATCCCAGCTACTCAGGAGGCTGAGGCGGGAGAATCACTTGAACCGGGGAGGTGGAGGTTGCAGTGCGCCGAGATCGCGCCATTGCACTCCAGCCTGGGCAACAAGAGCAAAACTCTGTCTCCAAAAAAAAAAAGTGAAGAGTATTCAGTAAGATCTCTAGGATACAAGGAAAAAAAAATATTTTTTATCTCACCGTTTTAAAATTTCTATTTGGTAATATACCTGGCACATTACATATATGCAAATATATATGTATATAAATACATATACATACTACCTGTGTACACACATACATATTCTCAGCTAAACAACAAACACATATGGACCACATACGAAAAACTTTTTTATAGGAGTAGTGCACATTTCAGAAAGTTTGCAGCCACCTCTCAGTCCTACCTGCCTGCCTTTTGCAGTTGACTTGCATGCTACGTCAAGTCTCTTCCCAACCTGTTTATGTCTGTAATACTTGTAATCATTTATTATAATTTAATTAAATTTTATATAAGCTGATGGAATGTTGTTTTAATAAAAGAATAGTCTCTGCAGAAACTTACGTTGCAAAGGCTTATTTGCAGTGCAGATTGGACAGAGTGTTTTTTTTAGTTGCTGTCAAATTTAGGCTAGGTAAGATACCTGTGCACGGTTCAATGCCATAATCATAAAAATCTAGGATTCTGCTTTAGTTTGGCTTGCAAAAATCTGGTATAATAAACTCCCATGTACCCTTATCCAGTTTCAGGGATTATCAGCTCACAGCCAATTTTGTTTCCTCTCTTCCCCAACTGAGGTAATTTCAAAACAAATCCCAGATATTCTATGTTTTATTTATAAGTATTTCATTGTATATCTTTTTTTAAAGGGGACCTTTTTAAAAAGCATAGCCAAAATAATATCATAACTGAAACATTCAGTCACTTGTGAATATATCAAATATCTCTGATCAGAGTTAGATTTCCCCAATTCAGACATTTCTCTTAGCCTTTCAGTCCAATATAGATCTTTCAGCCAACTGGTGGCGAGGTGATGGATTGGTGACCATGGGGAGGGTGCAGTTGAACTTGAGCATGGGGAGAATGAACTGGGGGTGGGAGAAGGAAGGAGCTCCATCTCCAGGACAGAGGCTCTTGTTGCCTCCAAGGGTCACCGTCCTCCCTGTGTGCACAGCTCAGAGCTTGAACGTGTTTCAGCCAGAAAGAACCTCACCCAGAGGGGCTGCATCCATTCTGCTTCCCCGCAGGATGTGTCTCGTGGCCTGTGATTTAGACCGCTGGGTACTTTGACGTCTGGGCCCGCAGTGTGAGGACTTCCAGCCCCTAAAGGTGTTCTTCATTATCCAGACCCATCCCTTCCCTGGGCCTTGACCACAGTGGTGAGCTCAGCAGAATTCCGTCAAAAGGGACGCCGTGTTTTGAGTGGCTCATGGGAACCCAGGGTCGGGGTTCCAAAGGTAGCTGAGCAGTGACAGGAGAGTGCTCGGGAGAGGCCCTGCCTGAACGGGGGAGCCAGGGGAGGAGCATGCACAGCAGGACCGGGTTCTGCTGTGCCCGCTACAGCGTGATAAGGCAAGCAGGGCAGCCCAGACTGACACTTCTTCCTTTCGGTGCTTCCTGAAAGTGAGTGCAGCTGCTTCGTGGCTGACTTCGTTATCTGTTTATTTCCAGGGAAGACTCTCTCTCAAAAAAGTTTTCACTGAGGTGCATGCAGTGTGGACGCAAGCAAGTGGCTTTGCCTGGCTGAAACAGTGATAAAAGGAGCTAGCTCCCTTAGAGGGGGTGAGGGTCAGCTACGCTTGCACACGTAAATACATGGAATGATGCTTGGTATACAGCGTTGTCTAACAGAATATCCTGTGATCGTGCAAACATATTGTGTCTGTGCTTCCCGATGCAGTTGAGCCCTTAAAAGAAGGCTGAAGTGACTGAGGAAACTTTAATTTAAATTTGAACAGCCACATATGGCTTTGGTGGCTACTACATTCCGTGCAAGTCTAGGAGATGTTGATAATACCATAACGATGGTATTTTGTTTTTATCCACCCATCTGCACACTGATGTAAAACTTTTAATATGGTTCTCAGTGAAGACCTAGAAGACAATACTGGTATGAAAAGCAGAGACAATATTATAAAGTGGTGTTTGCTCTGCATCTGTGTGGCCTGGAACATTTAGGATGTCAAAGATCATCTCTGAAATGAAGAGTCAGATTTTGAAGTGGACTGCATCTGTGGGAGTCTTTCAAGGAAGGAGAGGCAGCCTTGTGATAGGCATGGGTGGGAGCAGGAACTCAGGCTGACATTTCATGTGTGCTTCTTACTGGCTATGTGGCATGAGTCACATTGCTTCGTATTTTTGATCACCAGTGTTCATCTGGAAGATGAGAGTCATGATACGCACCTGCCTGCTGGGGTTGTCATATGTGCTGTGCTGTCAGGGTGCCTAAGCTCCGTCCGTGAGGACCGTGGTTATCATTCAGATAATGATGATGCTAATACCACAACTTAATGCACAATCACTGTCACTTCTAATTAGATTGGAAAGTTTAATAATTTTTATCCCTGTCAGATGCCAGGGATGCCGATTGATTGCTCTAGCTACTACTTAAATGTATATGCTCTTTTGACTTTTAAACATTTACTCTCTAGACTTTTAAGCATTAGAATCCAGTGAACTGAGGGAGAGAGAAACCTCTGACATGATCCCTAATGCCTGATCGAGGTGAGAGCGAGCAGGTCTGCCACGGTGACTTCAGGTTCCCAGCTGTCTTCTTCTTGTGCCCAGACTGTGGGTGTTCAAGTCGTATGTACATCTTGTGCTGCCTGCAAAGATTTGGTATCCAGAAGTTGATAGAATACAATGTTTTTTAAAGGAAGAGGTTTTTGGTGCTAACCATGCAGCCTGGCTTCTTGACATCATATCATTTTTATTTTACTCAATTGAAATGAGTCAACAAAAACATAAGGCTGGAAGAGTAGAAACTCTGACTTAACTGCTTCTTCATATGTTCTCCCTTTCTGCCTCCTCATATGTTCTCCGTTTCCTCTCCTAGATGTGATATTTGCTGCGTCACCTTTCGAACACATCGAGGACTGCTGCGTCACAACGCGCTTGTCCACAAACAACTTCCCAGGGATGCAATGGGCAGGCCTTTCATACAGAACAACCCTTCGATTCCTGCTGGCTTCCACGACTTAGGATTCACGGACTTCTCCTGTAGGAAGTTTCCTCGCATTTCTCAGGTATTCTGATCAGCCCATGGAAGCAACCAGCAACTGCCTTCCATGGTCCACGCAGTTAGACTAAACTTCCTCTCCCTCAGGTTTCTTTCCTTAAAATGTCGGTTGGGCTTTGTCTTTTTTATAACACCTTTTTTCTTAAAATTATCGTTGGCCCTTTCAGTCTTCCTTGGGTTGTTGGGTTGAGAAGGGCGCAGTCTTGTTTGGGGTTGAATATCCTAAGAACTTGTGCATCAGTCTAGCTGTTCTGTGCCTTTTGCCCATTCTTGGGTCTTTGAGGTTTAAGATGTCAACCCTGGTAGGCCAGGCCCCAGTGACTCACACCTGTAATGCCAGCACTTTGTGAGGCCAAGGCAGGAGGATCGTTTGAGGTCAGGAGTTTGAGACCTGCCTGGACAGCATAGCAAGACTTTATCTCTACAAAAAATTTAAAAATTAGCCAGGCATGGTGGTGTGCACCTAGTAGTCCCAGCTACTTGGGAGGCTGAGGTGGGAGGATACTTGAGCCCAGCAGGTTGAGGCTGCATTGAGCCATGATCACGCCACTGCCCTCCAGCCTGGGTGGCAGAGAGAGATTGTCTCAAAAATAAAATTTTAGGGCCGGGCACGGTGGCTCAAGCCTGTAATCCCAGCACTTTGGGAGGCCACGGTGGTCAGATCACAAGGTTAGGAGTTCAAGACCAGCCTGACCAACATGGTGAAACCTCATCTGTACTAAAAATACAAAAATTAGCCAGATGTGGTGGCACGCTCCTGTAATCCCAGCTACTCGGGAGGCTGAGGCAGGAGAATCACTTGAACCCAGGAGGATGAGGTTGTAGTGAGCCGAGATTGTACCATTGCACTCCAGCCTGGGCAACAGAGCAAGACTCCATCTCAAAAAAAAAAAAAAAAAAATTTTTTTTTTAATAAAATAAAAGTTGTGAATTGTAAAACACCCCAGCCCTATAATAATTGGAATTTGTGGGCTTTTAAAAAAATCTTTACTATCTGCGTTGCAGCTAAATATTCTAAATATTGTGGTTTCTATTAAAAACAGTTTGGGTCATTATTGACCTGAATAAGAAAAGAGCCATATATATTCCCACTAATAAAGCACCTGCTAAAACTACTTTGAAATCGGCTGGGCACAATGGCTCGTGCCTGTAACCCCAGCACTTTGGGAGGCCAAGGCGGGTGGAGCACTTGAGGCCAGGAGTTTAAGACCAGCCTGGCCAACACAGTGAAACCCCGTCTCTACTAAAAATATAAAAAATTAGCTGGGCATGGTGGCACATGCCTATAATCCCAGCTGCCGGGGAGGCTTAGGCATGACGATCTCTTGAACCTGAGAGGTGGAAGTTGCAGTGAACCGAGATCATGCCTGGATGACACAGCGAGACTCAGTCTCAAAAATAAATAAATAAAACTAAAACTACTTTGAAATTATTTTTTCCCCCATTTAAAGAAGTTCAGATAGAAGGCATCAACAGTGTTGTTCTTCAAGTGTATAAGGTACAAACTCAATGGATTGTTCCATATGCACACCACCCATGTTAACCCCCCAGGTGACATTCCTCATAGCCCCTCCTAGGCAGTGTCCCCCTTCCACAATCATAGAGGGGTAGGGTAGCTGATTCTCCAACATCTCCCACCCTCAGTTTCGCAAGGCACCCATTTTTTAAAAGAATTAATTCTACTCTTGTGGTATTGTTACTTAACTATGCTTCAGAATCTCTCATGAGATATCTTGTGGGGTTGATATCATTTATCATGCAAACATGATTCTTAAGATGCTTTGTGGATTTCCTTATTCAGTCTAGTGTGTTAGCAAGCAGGAGAAGGTCATTTTTTTTTTTAAGGCAGAGTCTTGTTCTGTTGCCCAGGTTACAGTGCAGTGTGGCATAGTCATGTCTCACTGCAGACTCAACCTCCTTAGGCTCAGGTGCTTTTCCTGCCTCAGCTTCCCAATAGCTAGGACACAGGCATGTACCACCATATCTGGCTAATTTTCTTGCTTTTTATAGAGACGAGGTCTTGCTATGTTGCCCAGGCTAGTCACAAACTCCTGGCCTCAAGCGATCCTCCCACTTCGGTCTCTGGAGTAGCTGGGACTAGAGGCATGAGCCAACACACCTGGCAAATTTTTTTTTTCTTTTTTTGTAGAGATATGGGATCTTGCTATGTTGCCCAGACTGGGAACTCTTTTTATATTATGGGGGAAGATTGTGGGATAAATGTACAACAAATACTTTGTGCATCTCCGTTTAGTGATTATTTTTTCAATCTTCACGTGTGTTCCCTTGCTTTTACCGGTGGGTTCTATATAGGCCTGGTGCGAAACAAACCTGCGGAGGTGCATCAGCGAGCAGCACCGTTTTGTCTGCGACACCTGTGACAAGGCGTTCCCCATGCTCTGCTCACTGGCCCTGCACAAGCAGACCCACATGGCGGCAGACCAGGGTCAAGAAAAGTTGCAGGCCACGCCCCTGCCTGCTGACGCCCTGGACCAGAAGGGCTTCCTGGCCTTGCTTGGCCTGCAGCACACCAAAGACGTCAGGCCTGTCCCCGCCGAGGAGCCCCTGCCGGATGACAACCAGGCAATTCAGCTCCAGACACTCAAGTGTCAGCTACCTCAGGACCCCGGCTGCACCAACCTGCTGAGCCTGTCTCCTTTTGAAGCTGCTTCCCTAGGCGGTTCTCTCACAGTTCTCCCCGCGACCAAGGACAGCATAAAGCACCTGTCCCTGCAGCCCTTCCAGAAGGGCTTCATCATCCAGCCTGACAGTAGCATTGTGGTCAAGCCCATCTCTGGCGAGTCGGCCATTGAGCTGGCAGACATCCAGCAGATTCTGAAGATGGCGGCCTCGGCTCCCCCTCAGATCAGTCTTCCGCCCTTCTCCAAGGCCCCCGCCGCCCCACTGCAGGCGATCTTCAAGCACATGCCCCCTCTGAAGCCAAAGCCCCTGGTCACACCACGGACGGTGGTGGCCACCTCCACGCCCCCGCCTCTCATCAACGCCCAGCAGGCTTCCCCAGGCTGTATCAGCCCCAGCCTGCCGCTGCCGCCCCTGAAGCTCCTCAAAGGCTCAGTGGAGGCGCCCTCCAACGCCCACCTGCTGCAGCCCAAGTCCGGGACCCAGCCCAGCGCGGCCACGCGGCTCTCCCTGCAGCAGCCGCGGGCGGAGCTACCGGGCCAGCCCGAGATGAAGACGCAGCTGGAGCAGGACAGCATCATCGAGGCCCTGCTGCCGCTGAGCATGGAGGCCAAGATCAAGCAGGAGATCACAGAGGGGGAGCTCAAGGCCTTCATGACAGCGCCCAGCGGCAAAAAGACGCCAGCCATGCGCAAGGTGCTCTACCCCTGCCGCTTCTGCAACCAGGTGTTTGCCTTCTCGGGGGTCTTGCGTGCCCATGTGCGCTCCCACCTGGGCATCTCGCCATACCAGTGCAACATCTGCGACTACATCGCCGCCGACAAGGCCGCGCTCATCCGCCACCTGCGCACGCACAGTGGGGAGCGGCCCTACATTTGCAAGATCTGCCACTATCCCTTCACTGTCAAAGCCAACTGCGAGCGGCACCTGCGCAAGAAGCACCTCAAGGCAACCCGCAAGGATATCGAGAAGAACATCGAGTATGTGAGTAGCAGCGCGGCCGAGCTGGTGGACGCCTTCTGTGCCCCGGACACCGTGTGCCGGCTGTGCGGCGAGGACCTCAAGCACTACCGTGCCCTGCGCATCCACATGCGCACGCACTGCGGCCGCGGCCTGGGCGGGGGCCACAAGGGCCGCAAGCCCTTCGAGTGCAAGGAGTGCAGCGCCGCGTTCGCGGCCAAGCGCAACTGCATCCACCACATCCTCAAGCAGCACCTGCACGTGCCCGAGCAGGACATCGAGAGCTACGTGCTGGCCGCCGACAGCCTGGGGCCCGCGGAGGCGCCAGCCACTGAGGCCTCCGGGCGCGGGGAGGACAGTGGCTGTGCTGCCCTTGGTGACTGCAAGCCCCTCACCACCTTCCTGGAGCCCCAGAACGGCTTTCTTCACAGGAGCCCCACCCAGCCTCCGCCTCCCCATGTCTCGATCAAGTTGGAGCCCGCCAGTAGCTTTGCGGTGGACTTCAATGAGCCCCTGGACTTTTCTCAGAAGGGCCTGGCGCTGGTCCAAGTGAAGCAGGAAAACACCTCCTTCCAGAGCCCTTCCTCCCTGGCCCCCTACGACTGCTCCATGGAGCCCATCGACCTGTCCATCCCCAAGAACTTCAGGAAAGGGGACAAGGATTTGGCCACTCCCAGCGAAGCCAACAAGCCTGAGCAGGAGGCGGGGAGCAGCGGGCAGCCCTCTCCCTGTCCAGCACCCGGCCCTTCTCTTCCCGTGACTTTGGGGCCCAGCGGGATCCTGGAAAGCCCCATGGCCACTGCGCCGGCGGCCACCCCGGAGCCCCCAGCGCAGCCCCTGCAGGGCCCCGTTCAGCTGGCGGTCCCAATCTACTCCTCAGCCCTGGTCAGCAGCCCTCCCCTCGTGGGCAGCTCAGCCCTCCTGAGTGGCACAGCCTTGCTGCGGCCACTGCGGCCCAAGCCCCCCCTGCTTTTGCCAAAGCCCCCCGTGACAGAAGAGCTGCCCCCGCTGGCCTCCATTGCCCAGATCATCTCATCTGTATCCTCGGCCCCCACCCTCCTGAAAACCAAGGTGGCGGATCCAGGGCCAGCAAGCACTGGCAGTAACACCACGGCTTCAGACAGCTTAGGAGGCTGTGTCCCCAAAGCCGCCACCACTGCCACCCCTGCTGCCACCACCAGCCCAAAAGAGTCTAGTGAGCCTCCCGCTCCAGCCAGCAGCCCAGAGGCTGCCTCTCCCACCGAGCAGGGCCCAGCGGGCACCTCGAAGAAGAGGGGCCGGAAAAGGGGGGTGAGGAGCCGGCCCCGCGCCAACAGCGTTGGGGTGGACCTGGACTCCAGCGGGGAGTTTGCGAGCATCGAGAAGATGCTGGCCACCACGGACACCAACAAGTTCAGTCCGTTTCTGCAGACAGCGGAGGACAACACTCAGGATGAGGTGGCCGGAGCCCCCGCCGACCACCACGGGCCCAGTGATGAAGAGCAGGGCAGTCCCCCAGAAGACAAGCTGCTGAGGGCCAAGCGGAACTCGTACACCAACTGCCTGCAGAAGATCACCTGTCCCCACTGTCCCCGGGTTTTCCCTTGGGCCAGCTCCCTACAGAGGCACATGCTCACACACACTGGTAAGAGGGCCACCGGGCTCCCAGGCGGTGAGTCCTACGTCGTGGCAGGGGGAGCCACGGGTGGGGGTCATAAGCGAGATGAATCTCCCACAGCTCCAGTTATTCCTAGCTTGCCTTCTTCCCCTGTCTGCGAAACCCCGGGCTTGTCTGGTGGTGCTGTATTTCCTTTGTGCTCTCAGTACCCACATGGCCTGTGTGCAGGGGCTGAGCCCTCCAAGGGCAGCGCCCTCCAAGGGCAGCATTCTAGTGAGTGTTCACCCAGGGCGTTTTGAGGTGAAAGTGGTCACAGGCCCTCAGATCACTCATGGCGTCGCCTCATCCCTTCTGGAGGCAGTAGCCAGATTATCTACTGGGTTAAGCAGGGAGGCAGCTACGGAGAAGTGAGACTTTGAAGGTATTGGGGCATAATGAGCTCGGTGCTTTGACACTAGACATTCCATTCCAGTGTCCTCAGTGCAGCGTTTTAAATTTTGAAAATTTTGTGAAGTTTTTTTGGATGCCGTGTATTCTTAAATCTTACAAATTGTGATGTTGGCCGTTTTCTTTCGGTTCACTAAGTCACATCTTCCCCTGTTGATTGTGAAAATCAGCAATGAGTGGTGGTAGAATGTTTTGAAATTTCTGTTTATGCTACAATTGTAAGCCTTTCTGAGAAACTTCTCTCGGAAGGGCCCGGCGCTGGTCTGGGTGAAGCAGGAAAACATCTTCCTGAGCTGTTCTTCCCTGGCCCCTACGACGATCCCTAGAGCCCATCGACCTGTCCATCCCCAAGAACTCACACCCAAGTGTGAAAAGGCTCTAAGTAATAGACTTAAATGGTCAAAATGATACCCCCAAAACTATTTTCCTTTTTTCTTTTTTTTTTTTTTTTTAAAGACAAAGTCTTACTACATTGTTCTGGCTGATCTCAAACTTCTGGGCTCAAACACTTTTCTTGCCTCTGCCTCAGAAAGTGCTGGGATTACAAGCGTGAGCCCCCGCACCTGGCCCCGAAAGTATTTTTCTTTATTTGAGACGGAGTCTCACTCTGTTACCCAGGCTGGACTGGAGTAGTGTGATCTCAGCTCACTGCAACCTCTGCCTCCCAAGTTCAAGCAGTTCTCCCTGCCTCAGCCTCCCAAGTGGCTGGGATTACAGGCATGCGCTACCATGCCTGGCTAATTTTTGTATTTTTAGTAGAGATGGCGTTTCACCATGTTGGCCAGGCTGGTCTCGAACTCCTGACCTCAGGTGATCTGCCTACCTCAGCCTCTCAAAATGCTGGGATTACAGGCGTGAGCCACCATGCCCGACCTGCCCAAAAGTATTTTTCAAATGTTAGTTTCCAGAAGTTGATTTTTAAAGAGAAGTTTAGGATAGGAATATACTTTAAATAATTTTGTATCAGGTGCTTCTAGTATATAAGTGGCCATACAACTCTCACCTGAATTACAATTTTCTGAATTTTCTCAGTGAACAGCCTCTGTATTCAATGATTTATGTTATTGAACTAAGGGCAAATTAGTGAGATCCTATCTTTTTGGGGTTTACAGCCAAAATATTAATAAATAGATAGGCACTAAAACCACATGGTACTGGATTGGCGAATAAAATACAGAACACCAGTTAAATTTGAATTTCAGATAGACAACAAATAATTTTTAGTATAAGTATTTTTATGCAGTTCTTGGGATTTACTAAAAAATTATTTGTTTATCCAAAATTCAAATTTAGCTCTGGGCATCCTGGGTTTTTTGTGGGTTTTTCTTTTTGCGCTAAATATGGTAACCCAAGGTAGTCAGGAGGTTTATGACAGGATGTTGAGGGTGGGTTGTGGGAATTGGTGTGAGCTGTGCTCTGTATCTTGGTGGAAATGTATTACATAGAGTTGATCATCCCACAAAGCTTTGGAGAAGCTCGTGGAAGGCTGTTTCTCCTAGATGAGGTGGAACAGCAGGAGGGAGGTCATGGAGCCACCGCTGGGTACCTGAACAGTGTGCAGAATGGAGCCTGGGGAGGGAGAGGAAGCTGGGAGCCAGAGGGAGTTGTGGCTGGGAGCGATAGGTCTCTCAGAGGCCGCACTGCTCACCAGAGCTTGCCACACAGACACGGCATTTCTTTCTGCTGTGGTGGGTCCTTGAATCCAGGGATTGAGGAGTAGCAAGTCAGGAGTGCCTATCCAGGGAAGACTCAAGGAGAACCAGGATTTCTAGATTTGTAAAGTATGTACTGCCCTTTCATACCACTGTCTTCCTGTTAAAATAGTTTAAGCCTGACAAGTAAAGCAGCCATTCTAATGATGATAGCAGTTCAGGGAAGAAAATGCATCTTCAAGAGAAGGTGCTCCTTATAGCAGTCTCTTTTGCTACCCTTTTTGGGTATCACCTGTTTATCGCCTACTGAGAGTCTATGGAGAAGTGAGTCTTTCTGTTACCACTTTTCAGAAAGCAGATGGTCTGGATCTGATGATTGGCTTGGCTCACACCCTTCCTCAGTGCTCTCACCTCCCCCTGCTCTCACCCAGCCTCCCCATCTTCCTCCTCCGGTATTTCCTTTTTTAAGAGTTGTGCCCATGTCTTTGCAGGTGCATGATATGTGTTCCCACTTGTGAATCCAGTCATGATTGCCTGGCCTTTGAATGCCAAAATACCAGTGTTGGTTTAAAATTTAGTAGCATCTAAAACTGAGCAAGAAAGCAGGAGGTTTGTTTAAGATAGGATGGGGTAGATATAAATACAAACATTCTGCCTCTTGTCCCTTAAAAGTTACTGATAACCTCGATAGATGTGTCTGTTTTGGCACAGTCCCTGTATCCTATCATAATATGTTCTTGGTAGAGCTAGTGTTCATGACAACCTTGGGAGGGTGATGTCATCTGTGTGTTGCCACAAGGAAATCGAGGTTTACTTAAGGAGCTAAGTAACTTGCCTACAGCCATATGGGGAATAAGAGATGGAGCTACTGTTCCAAGCCAGGGTCAGGTTCTGTGCAGCTGCCCCCTGGCCCCAGGGTGTGTGTACCAAGTGTGTCCTCTGTGTGAAGGTAGAAAGCGGGCAGGGTGCACCTTCCATGCTTCCCTGTGTTCCCACGTGTCTACATGCAGAAGATTGGGAAGTAGTTTGAGATAAGGGGGGGACACCACTGTGGATCAGAATGTTATTAACTAATTTGAGACTTAATGACTACGGAATCGTGTTAGCCACCTGCATAGACACCGTATGAAGGTTGGTGCCCATTGAGCTCCATTAACTTCCTTTGCTGTGCTTCACTCTCAGCCTCCAGGGATGTTCAGCATCACCACTGCTAAATCATGTTATATGGAGCACTTGGCTACATCCAGTGTTGTGTTAGAGCATTTTCCATTCATGGAGCATTAGAGCTGGAAGGAGCCTGGGAAGTCATCTGATGGGCCCCCTCTCCCCACAGACCTGATCTTTTTCCTGGTAGGCAGCTCTGCTGTCACTCAGAGCCACATGGATCCTTGGCTTCCTAGGCTTCTGTGAGGTGCTGTCTCCAAAACTTTGAAAAAAGTCTTAAGCGTACACATGTTAAACATTGACTCTGCAGCCACCCTGCAAACAAAGGTATTATTCAGAGAAGATGTTTTGTGCGATATTTTTGGTTTTTTAGTTTTTTGCTTTTGTACAGACAAGGTCTCACCAAGTTACCCAGGCTGTTCTCGAACTCCTCGGCTTTGCAAAGCGCTGGGATTACAGGTGTGAGTCACCGTGCCTGGCCATTTTGTGTTTTTGAGTATACTGTTAAAATCTAGCTGAGTTCCAGCCAGAAACATTGAGCAGCATCCAGTTTTGGACTGCATTTAAACAAACTGTCTACACCTTGAATGCTGGCCTCTTCCTACCCCCTCAGCAAATTACTGTACTGTCTCTACTTTGTCTCAAAACACGTGTTCTCCAGTCCTCCCATTCCTCACAGGGGCAGCAAGAAGCAGATCTGGTGTTCAGTGTCCAACGAGGGGTATACCTGCTGGCTGCTGGCAAGGAGCATGTGGCCTCAGCCTTTTCTTGCTCCCGGCTCAGGTTCCAGGAACTGTGTCTGATGAGGAAGCTGGCAGGGCTGTCATTTTTCATACCCCTGGCACAGTCTCCACACACACCTGCCTTTCCTCCTTCCTTCCACTCCTCTCCAGCTCTCTCCCAGCCCATAGTTTCCTGCTGATGAGGACAGTTCCTGGTTCCTTACCTTTCTCCACCTAAATGTGCCACTCCATAGGAGACAAGAGTGCACTGTTCCTGCCTTTGCCCCTCGGGAGCATCTCGTGTGTTTTTAGGCCACAGGTGGAGGAGAGGGTGCCAGAAAACACAGCCAGTCTGTTCTTGCCTGTCCTTGTTTTCTTCCCCCTTCCGTTTGCTCCGGTTCCTTGTCCCACAGCGACGGGCTTGGGACTATGGGATGTCCATTTTGGGCTTCCCTGGCTCACTGCCTTTCTCATGGGTGCTTTGAGCACCTTTTTTGAGCCGGCTCAGGCTTTTTCCCTGACACCCTTTCCTCCCTGCTTCTACCCGGCAGTGAGGGTCAGAGCTTCAGTCAGTGAGTCATCCTAACCTGGGTGTGGAAAGCACCTGGGACACCACTTGTATTTGGCTACTTTTAGCTTTCTTAAAAGACAGCTTTGGCCATTTTTACCCAGTCCTGTGTACACTTCTGCCAAATACAGAGAGAAAATACCAAAAGAAAGCATGCCTTCACGCAGGGGTGGAGGAGCAATGGCGAGAAGGCTGGGCTGCTCAGGCCCATCTTGTTACAAAAAGAAAAGCAACTGCAAGGTTTTCCATGCTAGTTAGACCCCACCTTTCTAATTCTGATTGTCTTTGAAAAATGAACAGAAATGTTTTCAGTTCTGTTTTTTTGATCTTGGAGGCCAAGATGCCAATCTCCTCATCAAACTATTCTCACTGTTCACCCTTCTCTTGCCCCAATGCCCTTCTTCATTTCTTGACTGTTCTGGGAGAATAAACACTGGCTAATTTGGGGGGGTGTTTTTTTTTGGAGTTTTTTGTTTTTGTTTTTGTTTTGAGACAGGCTCTCGCCCTGTCACCCAGCACCCCGGCTAGAGTACAGTGGCATGATCACAGCTCACTGCAGCCTTGAACTCCTGGCTGAGCGTAAGTGATCCTCCTGCCTCAGCTTCCCAAGTCGCTGGGACTACAGGTGCACACCACCATGCCTGGCTAATTTTTTTACTATTTTATTTTATTTTATTTTATTTTTATTTTTTGAGACAAAGTCTTGTTCTGTAGCCGAGGCTGGAGTGCAGTGGTGTGATCTCGGCTCACCACAACCTCTGCCTCCCAGGTTCAAGTGATTCTCCTGCCTCAGCCTCCAGAGTAGCTGGGATTACAGGCCCGTACCACTGCACCCAACTAATTTTTTGTATTTTTACTAGAGACGGGGTTTCACCACATTGGCCAGGCTGGTCTTGAACTCCCAACCTCAGGTAATCTACCAGCCTCAACCTCCCAAAGTATTAGGATTACAGGTGTGAGCCACCGCGCCCGGTCTTTTTATTTTTTTGTAGAGACAAGGTCTCACTGTGTTGCCCAAGTTGGTCTGGAACTCCTGGGCTCAAGCGATCCACCTCTCTTGGCCTCCCAAAGTGCTGGGATTATAGGCATGAGCCACTCTGCCTAGCTGGCTGATGGTTTCAGTACTCGTGTTGGGGCTTGCAGAATGCTGTAGGTCCTGAGTGTGCAGGTACTCCCTGTGGTTACAGGTGCTTTTACAAATACCCCCCTAAAGCAGTTATTCGTGGCAGCTACCAAATAGATAAAATCATTTGCTACTTTCTATATAGATGACTGGCCAGCAAGTGTTTTTGAAACCTGTGTTACTATAAAATACTAAACGGGCCCGTTTTCCTGCATCCCTGCAATCCAGAAAGCCCACTGCTATGTAAAAATGTCAGACTTACGCAGTGAAATGTGAGCTTTTAATGACTCGTGTGAGTTGTTATGTCACTTTGGGAGCCTTCATAGTTTGATGCAATACTTTGGCATCATGGACTGTTTTTTGAATTTAGCATTAATAGGGACCTTCTCATGGGGACGTCAGCCTGGCAGTCCTAACCAGCTGTAAAGGTGACGCACTTACCAGTGTGAAAATTAGAGTAAACCATGTGATAGGGGGAGCGAGAAGCCGACCGTTTTCTTTGAAATCAAGAATCCTATCATAATAGCTTCTTACTTGTTTTCCTCTTGGCCCAGTTATTTTCTCAATCTGGCCAGACTCAGAGAAGCAGCAGTGTTACCTTTTGACAATAAAATATTAAAAGTACTTTATTTTTACTTGAAATTATTAAATACTGTGTTCAATTTTAAATGAAAAACAAGAAGTAATTTTTTTCATTTTATTTTATTTTTGAGACAGAGTCTCTCTGTCGCCCAGGCTAGAGTGCAGTGGTACAATCTCTGCTCACTGCAACCTCTGCCTCCCAGGCTCAAGCGCTCCTCCCACCTCAGCCTCCCCAGTAGCTGGGATTACAGGCACGCACCACCATGCCTAGCTAATTTTTGTATTTTTAGTAGAGACGGGGTTTCACCATGTTGGCCAGGCTGGTCTTGAACTCCTGGCCTCAAGTGATCCACCCGCCTCGGCCTCCCACAGTGTTGGGATTAGAGGCATGCACCACCATGCATGGCTGCAAGAAGTAATTTGGAAGATGCACCATAAACACTGAGATACTGTACAACTAGTCATACTTTTTTTTTTTTATTAATGTGGATGTTTTAAAAATAAATTTTGCAGAAAACACCTACAGAATGATATGAGGAGACCTGAAAACAGTCAGTGAGTTCTCCACCTCTGTTCCGGTTGCCTGTGGAGCTCCTCAGAAGCACGCAGGCCGGGTGTCTGGGTTTCTGATTCTGCCCTTGCCAGGTTTCTAATTCTGTTGTCTTTGATTGTTGCGAGCATCTTTATCTTAAAAGCTCCTGAGGAGATTTGTAAGCATCATCTAAAAGGGTCTTTTAGCTCAGGATGGAATCAGTGTCGCCTGTCTCTGATTATTGCTGCTGATGTAAATTTGTGGCCATGCTGTCACAGGGGCGGCGCCAGGTCCACACCTTCACGCTCTGTACAAATGGCGCCCCCTGGAGTCGTGTGACACAGCCATGCCTGTCAAGGCTAGTCCCTCCTTCCCCTGGGAAAACACGTGGCCCCTCTGGCTGGTCCCCAGGTGCCAGGCCCTTGCTGTGCATTCGCAGGGGAGTGTGTGGCCTTGGGCACCTGCGCTAGTTCAGGTTTCTGTCAACATTAATCTAAACGAACGCCAGAGGCCCCTGTGATCTGTGTTTCCAGGGAGCTCTGTTTAATTGTGGCAATCCCACGGCTATGAGACAAAAGTACTAGGCCTCAGCTCTGAAGTCAGGTTAGTTAACACATAAAACCTTTTACCCTGTAACATTAGCAACTGGGACCTTGGACGCCAGCGACTTGGGGGAAAGGGAGGAATACAGTGATACACAAATGATGCACCACCAACTTCCATCTCTTGAAGGTTCCTGATCCCCTCCCTCCTCCTCTCTTTTCCTCTCCACCTCCCTTTTCCCTTGTGCTTTCTTTCTCCCTCACATGCATCCACACAAACCCAGGACAAGTTGTAGAGGAGCTTCGATTGCATTTTCAAACATGACATTTACAGCACAAAAGGAATCCAAGTAAAAGGAGAGGGTAGGCAGACCAAAGCAGGAGGGTACTGTGCCTCTCTGTGGCTCACCCATCTGTGCATTTGAGATGGGTCTAGCGGCGAGGCAGGGCCGCCAAAATGTCCTCTTCACGTGCACATCTGTTGAATGGAGCACATGATCAAATGCAGACATAGTTACATATTGGTCACTCATTTGCAACCAAGCTTGGAGCAGGGGGAAGAAAGAACCTTTAATATAATGAGAAGATCTCCTGACTCTTGCCACCTAGGACCACAGTGAACTTGAGGAGAAGTCACTGCAGGATATCTCAGCAAGTCAGACAGGAGTTGTCCTGGGAAGTCAGAACTCACTGCTCCCATTCCCCAGTGGGAGGGTACTGGCCACCCTGGCCGGGGGCTGTCCCTGACTTCTCTTCATGGCCCCCCAAAGATACCCAGGGGGTTCCCCAATGGATTTCCTAGTGTCCATATTATGGTGTCCTTGCCACACTAGAACTCGTTAGAGGGCATCTTTCTCTTTGTGATAGAATATAGGTGTTTTCTTGCTGTGCTCTAAAATCTCTTCATTCACTTTTATTTTGTGTTGTCATTATTTAATATTTGAATTGTAATAGCATTGTTTTACTTTAAATGTATATTTTTCAGTTTCATTTATTTTAGTATTTTGAAGACAAAAATTCATATTCCATTCAACTTAGGAAAAGGGAGAATGATCGTTGTAGTCACTGATGTTCTCTTGTTTTTTTTTTTTTTTTTAAATGTGTTTTGTTAATTTTCTTGAAGGGGTGGAGGAGGGGGGAACAACTGCCAGTGATCCCAGAAGAATAAACAAAAGCGACTTTTGTTTTTCATTGCAGTAGAAAGCCAGATAAATATATATTTTTTTTCCTGCTTCAGGTCAGAAACCCTTCCCTTGTCAAAAATGCGATGCCTTCTTTTCTACCAAATCTAACTGTGAACGCCACCAGTTGCGCAAACACGGAGTTACCACCTGTTCCCTGAGAAGAAACGGGCTTATCCCCCAGTCAAAAGAGAGTGATGTTGGATCCCATGATAGCACAGGTAGTGCCGCCAGGTGAACAAGAACCCAGAGAGAGGGAGACAGAGGAGTTCGGTTAAGAGTTGTATCTAACTCCGGTCCGAGCTGTGGAGGGGCTGCTTGTTCACTTCTCTGTAGGATGCAGAGCCTATTAGTAGAAAGGCGGGCCCTACTGATGATTGGGAGGGAGCATAACTCCTGGGTCAGATCGCCTAGACATACAGCAGGAAACAGTGACAGTGCCCCTCGGTGACTCTCGGGGCTGCTAGGGAAGATCTGTCACCCTCTTGGCAGAAGAGGCCTTTGTTCCCGATGTTGGGAGGTGGGATGTATGGGAAGGCCTACAACTTTAGCCCTGGGTATGAACTCATCTAAAGGGGATGTGAAACCTTAAAGGTTTGGGGAGCCCTGGCCTCTGCAGCCTCCTCGGGAGCAGGCCTGGGCTCCCTGGGGTGTCAGGGTATTGAAGGAACAAGGGGTGCGGTGTTCTTCTTTTCAATAACTCTCTTCCCGGTGTAAGACTGTCCTTGTTTGAAAAAGCACTGTGCATGTCCTTTCTTTAATCACATCTCTGCTTGACCTGAATCCGAGTATTATTCTCCTGTGCTGATGTGTGCTTCCTCCCTCCAGCACCCACAGAGCAATTAACGGCTGCCCGATACGTCTTCTGCCACCTTTTTTCCCTTGTAGTTTCTGAATTTACTCATATCCTCTATCGGTACGCTCCATCCGCTCAGACTGCTGGGGTTCTCCATCCTCACCCCCAAGAGCAAACAAAACAAAAGCCAGCCTGCTGCAGGCCACTTAGACACCCCGCCAGTTGCCACTGGTTAGCAACAGGGACAGCATCATGGTGCTGGGTCCATTTCTGCAAGTCTTTTTTTTTTTTTTTTTTTTTTTTTTGAGACGGAGTCTCGCTCTGTCGCCCAGGCTAGAGTGCAGTGGCCTGATCTCAGCTCACTGCAAGCTCCGCCTCCCGGGTTTACGCCATTCTCCTGCCTCAGCCTCCCGAGTAGCTGGGACTACAGGCGCCCGCCACCTCGCCCGGCTAGTTTTTTGTATTTTTTAGTAGAGACGGGGTTTCACCGTGCTAGCCAGGATGGTCTCGATCTCCTGACCTCGTGATCCGCCCGTCTCGGCCTCCCAAAGTGCTGGGATTACAGGCTTGAGCCACCGCGCCCGGCCCAGTTCTGCAAGTCTTGAAAACCTGACACTATCTCGTGGCTGCGAAGAGATCCCCCCAGCTATGTTTTTCTAGGGTTGTAATTGCGTCCTGTGGCTTCTGTTCCTTAGATAGGGTGGAGATGGGGTGCTCTAGAGTTAGGAGGCACCCCTGCCTCAGGAGTCAGTGTGGACAGAGGGTTGGGCATTAGCCCCCTTGTCCTTACCTTGGTTATAGCGATGTGGGGGCGCATCTGGAGAGGCCACCCTTTGCCCCTCTCTACGCCTCCCACTGAGCCCCGTGAAACCAACTGTGAGTGCTCTTGACTGCCCAACTGCCAGTCCAGATCAGATCCTCTGAGGGTATGAAAGTGTAAGCTGCTTTGCTCACTGCTTCCCCAGCTTCCACTTCCACATAACTCACCAGTATCTTTGAGTGAAGAAAGATGTGGGTGCCCACGGAATCTTCCCCTAACTTGGACCCCTGTGAGCCAAGGACGACCTGCAGTTCAGCCCACGGGAAGTACACACCAGTGCTGGCAGGCACGCACTTGCTGCAGACCATTCTGTTAATGTTTAACCATCGGCCGCCACGTTACCTGTTGGTCTGGAACATTTTCTTTCAGCCTGGTTTTGAAAGCTACACTGTGATCTTCCCATAGTGGTTCCACAGTAGCGAAAGCAGCCAGTAACTGAGAGCTGAGGGGGATCCCTTGGGTTTCCATGTTTACAAGTAAGTCTTAGTAACTCTGTGCTGAATATGCATTTTGCATTCAGCTTCTTTATCATAAGGGAGGAACAAGGGCTGGGGCTCCTGCTGACGTCTGCAGACACAAAGCTGAGTCGGAATTTATGGTCTTAGCTTCGGTTCAGCACCAAGTGTATTTATAAGTTTGTACTCATAAGTTTTGTTTTCCAAATCCCAGCAAAGCCCTTTCCCACCTCCACCCCACCCCGGAAGTTATATAGGTTTTCTTGAGGGGATAAAACCTCTAGAAAAGGAAGTTACTGAAAGTTGTAATGTGAAACTAGCAAAGAGAAAATATATGTTTGGTTTAGTTGTGGTCCCAGTCCATGGTGAGAAAAGGGACTGAGATTTAAGTGGGAGAGAAAGGAGGTTAGGGAGGCAGAGTTTAGTGATTTCAAGGGGGATTTTAAAAACCAGATGAGCATGATGGGCATGGGGTGAAGCCTTCATTCTGGGCTCCCCCCAGTGAAGTTAAAAAAGTGAGGCTTTGAAGGAAGACCACTTAAAAAGGGGGAGGCTGGGGGAGGAAATGACCAAGGAGGTCCTTGAGGGGTTTTCTAGGCTTATATGCTTAGGTGGCATTTTCTTAAAATTCCTACACATGTTTTATAATGCAGGTCTGACTTTTTTCAACATAAAGTCCCCCAAAAGAATGCTTAAAATGCCACAGTGGGGGCAGTTCTCCCTTCAAAGGTCCATTTTGAATATTCAGATTTCAACTGAAATTCTCCATTCACTGTCCTCGACAGAGAGGTGCCCTGGCCCCCTCTGCCCTTGAAGGGCATGCCCTTGGTCCTTCCTCCGATGATGCCGCGTCTTCGTGTTTGTAGGCACCTACATAGGGCTGTTTTTAATTCATAGAAACGTGAAAGTGTTTAAACTCTCCCTTAATGGTGACCACCTTTACCAGCCCAGAAGTCCCACATGTCAGCATGGACTGCACCCCAGGAAACCCTCTCAGTCCTCCGATGCTTTGGGTAGAGTGCAGACACAGTGGCTTCCCTGCAGATGCACCCCTGCCAGGTCAGATGATTACTTCGGTTGGTAGTCTGTCGCATCGGTTGAGGCGCATTTAATTTTTAGGAAGAATTAGATCATTAATTGTTGAGCTGACTAGGGCCGTCTCCACTGTCCTGTAGGAGGAGCTGTGGGTTTATTATCTATCAGGATTCCTTCTGCTTCCTCTGGCAGTTTTCTTAGTTGTTGAACACAAACCGAGGGACTGATGGGGAGAGGGAAGAACTGCATATTTTTAAGGTAGCATTGCTTATATAAAAAGTCATCAGCTCAGCTACCTCATTTGGGAGTCTGGGTGGTTGAGGGCGGGGATTTATACAGCACCTGGCCTTGTAAGTTGACTGTTCATGATAGGTTTAGAGGCGAAGTGTTTGTTCATGAGAATCACTAATGAATATCAGTTGTTGCTTAGAATGTGAAGGGCACAGCCTGCACTGCTAAAACACTCCCCCTAGTGGGAGTTTGGTAGAATACAACCAAGCCCCCTGTGTCCCAAGAGGGCGTTGGCCTTTCATTGTACTCGGGTGATCTGTCTCCATTATCTACACAAAGGAAGGTCCCAACAGCAGGAACAATTTGATCTTAGTATATTTATTTGGGTTTTATTTCAAAATTTATTTTATTTTTTTCAAGCTTTATCATGTTAAATATGTTCTGTGCAGTTAAAATAATGCATGTTCTTTGCTGAAAAAAAAAATAATAGAAGTAGCCTAGGATATACTGGGGACAAAGGGGAAGTAACCAGAGATTAAATCTTTTAAAAATAACCGGTTGGGCGTGGTGGCTCATGCCTGTAATCCTAGCCCTTTTAGAGGGCGTGGAGGGTGGATCACCTGAGGTCAGGAGTTCTGAGACCAGCCTGGCCAACATGGTGAAACCCTGTCTCCAGTAAAAAAACAAAAATTAGCCGGGCATGGTGGCTCACACCTGTAATCCCAGCTTCTTGGGAGGCTGAGGCAGGAGAATCACTTGAACCCAGGAAGCAGAGGTTACAGTGAGCTGAGATTGCACCACTGCACTCCAGCGCAGGTGACAGAGCAAGACTCTATCTCAAAAAAAAAAAAAAAAAAAAAAACCTACAAAGGCCAGCCACAGTTGCTTATTCCTGTAACCTTAGTACTTTGGCAGGCCAAGGCAGGAGGACCCCTTGAGCCAGGAGTTCGAGACCAGCCTGGGCAACATAGGGAGACCCTGACTCTAGGGAGGGAAATTACCCACAAAGCCAGCAAACAAATTGAGCAGTTTGTATTTTTATTGTAGAGTTTATACCAATATCCATTCTATAGCTGCTCTCTGTTGAAATGATTCAAGAAAACGAATATCTTGTTTTTCCTTGGAATGTGGCCCAGACATTGGTGTGCATATCTCAGGATTCATATTCTTTAAGCTTTTGGATAATTTTGCAAAATCATTTCTTCTTTAAAATTTTATATTCACACCATAATATTTCCTTCTGAAACCTCTTGAGATACTCAGACAGTGGCTGCCAAAAAGTGCAGTCAGTGTAAAACTAATGAAATGAAATGATGGAAGTGGACGTGTTATGCAGATGGCTGTGGGTAAGCCTAAAGCCCCAAGCAGGTGTGAGCGGTAGGTACTGTCTCTTCAGACCTCGGGATGGGGCAGGACCAGCTCCTTACCCCAGCCCTCCTGACCGCCTTGATGGCCAAATAATGGAGCATGTGATGTTGAGGAGAAGTGATAGATGCAGGTTGATACTGTAGTTACGCCTGATCACACCAAGTAAGAATCCAGGTTAGGTGTGTGAATCTGCTGGCTCAAGGACTGCACTCCCATCTGGCCTGTTGAGGGAGGCGCATCTCATACTTGTGCCATAAAACAATGACTTTCATCCACCTAATTCTCAGAGGAACTTCTGAATCCCTACAGTAATAAATCAGACAGTGGCCAGGCATGGTGGCTCACGCCTGTAATCCCAGCACTTTGGGAGGCCAAGGTCGGCAGATCACCTGAGGTCAGGAGTTCGAGACCAACCTGGCCAACGTGATGAAACCCCGTCTCCACTAAAAATACAAAAATTAGCCGGGCATGGTGGTGGGTGCCTGTAATCTCAGCTACTCGAGAGGCTGAGGCAGGAGAATTGCTTGAACCCGGGAGGCAGAGGTTGCAGTGAGCCAAGATCACACCATTGCACCCTAGCCTGGGCGACAAGGAGAAACTCCGTCTTGAATAATAAAAAATCAGACATAGGATCTGCAGCTAAATAATAGGTTCCACCAGCTTCCAATGCACTGTTGTAGTGCATAATTTTAAGAAGTTATTAAGTCCTCTTTCAGCCTTAGGAAAGAGAAGGCCTTTTGACACTGTTTGATGCTGTGAATGTTGCAACCGTGCCATCCCTTAAAAGGACTGTTGAAAACTGGTAGGCTTTCCACATACAGTTTTACTGGGTGGAATGGACAGATAGGAACAAATCAAAAGGCAGGAAGTCAGGGTAGGTGAGATGCCCGGAAGCCAGAACCCCTTGTCTTCACAGGCACCCACAGCCCTTCACAGTCCGCTCCCCTCACTGTCTGCTGTTGCCAAGCCTGGCATCAAGGGTGCCCTTCCTTTGAAAGATTTCCGCCACCCCTGGGAGGCTGACAGCTAGGAAGCCTACAAGCTTGCCTGCACCCCGTTGGGTCTCTGCAGCCTCCACCTGGAGATGAGCGTCAGGCAAGAGTGCATACCATACACACAGAATGCAGGCTTGGGGTGGTTTCCTGTGAAACTCATCAAGACCATGCTTTGGGGGATTAGGGGTGGGGGTGGTCCTGTGTATGTTGCATGTTTGTATGATCTCTTTGCACTGGAAAAATAACTTATAACTCAAGCTTCCTCAACCTCCCTGGCGCTGCGAGTCTCTGGAATGCACCCCTCTCCTATCTCGCAGCCCCTGTCTGCCCTGCCTGAGTCACTCACACCTTCCTGGGGGCGGGAGCAGTGGAAGCCGGGGGTTCGGGGGCACAGCCAGCTCTGGGAACACACCTCAGGTGATGTGGAGGCTGCTTTTGCCTTTCTTACCTCCCCGGGGTCATCTTGGTCCTCCTGGGGGAATGTAACAGGTGGTGAGGATTTGGGCCGAAAGAAGTCCTCACTGGTTTGGGGTTCAGGCTGCTGGCGTGGGTCTAGCCCATTCCCGGCGACGTCCCTGGCATGAGCGTACCTGGTGGTGCCCCTCTGAGCCCTCCCCGCTGTGCTTGCCCCACAGACAGCCAGTCGGATGCGGAGACTGCAGCCACCGCGGGCGAAGTGCTAGACCTCACCTCACGGGACAGAGAGCAGCCGTCGGAGGGCGCCACTGAGCTCCGCCAGGTCACAGGGGATGCCCCTGCGGAGCCAGCCAAGGCGGAAACGGCCTCGCCTGTGCACGGAGAAGAGCACGGGCCTGGGGAGAGCCATGAGCCGGAGGAGGAGCGTGGCGCTGAGGAGAGTGCCGGTGACGCCGACGGCGCTGAAGAGGACGCGTCGAGCAACCAGAGCCTGGACCTGGACTTCGCCACCAAGCTCATGGACTTCAAGCTGGCCGAGGGCGAGGGCGAGGGCGAGGCAGGCGCCGGGGGCGCGGCCTCGCAGGAGCAGAAGCTCGCCTGCGACACCTGTGGGAAGAGCTTCAAGTTCCTGGGCACCCTGAGCCGCCACCGGAAGGCGCACGGCCGCCAGGAGCCCAAGGACGAGAAGGGAGATGGCGCCAGCACTGCGGAGGAGGGGCCCCCGCCCGCCCCTGAGCAGGAGGAGAAGCCCCCCGAGACCCCGGTGGAGGTGGTGGAGTCGGCCCCGGGCGCCGGGGAGGCCCCGGCGGAAAAGCCTGCAGAGGAGACTGAGGGCCCCTCCGACGGGGAGAGCGCGACCGAGAAGAGGTCCTCGGAGAAGAGCGACGATGACAAGAAACCAAAGACAGACTCCCCCAAAAGCGTGGTCAGCAAGGCAGACAAGAGGAAGAAGGTCTGCAGCGTGTGCAACAAGCGGTTCTGGTCGCTGCAGGACCTGACCCGGCACATGCGCTCCCACACAGGTAACCAGGGCAGGCCAGGTCCCCAGCCCGACAAGAGGCGGCCAGGTGGGCACCTCTGTCCTAGGAGCTGCCTTGAAGCGGCGCTGGAGGCCGCCGAGAGAACGTTTGCTTACGTTGCGGGTGTGCTCCTTAAGCCCGTGAACTAGGAGTTTTAAGGAGTTGTCCTCTTAGCGCTGGAAGACCGTGCAGGCCTGCAGCCAGGCAGGAGAGGGTCCTTGGCCCTTGTGTTTTTGAGAACGCTGTGATCCGCCTCTTAGCGCTGCTGAGCCTCCGTCTTCCCATCTGTAGAGCTGGGGTGACAGCTGCCCTGTTTCAAAGAGGTATCTAGGAGAGGGTGCTTGTGCTGGCCATTTGGGGCCACTTGGTCCTGTCTAGTCCTGTGGCCCGGACGACAGGCGCTGCCCCAGGCCACTGTGGGGCGGCAGGCACCCTGGGTGATGCGTTAGGGCCAGGAGGGTCTTTTCCTTTCTTAGCCGTGCAACCGGCTGAGGTGACTGGGACAGGACTCTTAGCCACTGCCCTGCACACTGCTCCTAGAGTTCACCCACCACCCACAGGGTGGAGGCTGCAGACCCCAGAGCAGGGGCGCTTGCTTTGAGACAAAGACCTGGATATGCTCATGGAGTCCAGAGATATATCCTCCTTCCTTCCAAAATAACCTGTCCCTCCTCTCAGCCGCAGCTTCCCTCCCTGTCACATCTGCAGCCCGCAGTGAACACGTGTGCCCCAACCCAGCGCAGTCCGCTGTTCGCTGCGCTTGCGGGTGTGAAGGACCAGGGGCCTTGGCTCTCAGAAGAGGGATATTCTTGGGCTCCCAGAAAGCGTGGTGGGCCCTGCCCCAGGCCTGGCGTGTGAGCATCAGGAAAGCCCCCGCTGCGCCACATCGCAATGCAGAGGGTACCTGGTGCCTCCGACTTAGGTGCTGCTGTCCATGCAGATTCCTGAGAGGGCCCACTCCCGTCCCCCTCTAGGTTCCTTCCTAGGCTCTGGTCGAGGCCAGTCTGCATGTCTCCTGAGGCTTCTGCTTCTGGGACTTGGGTTTTCTGGATCAGTATGTAGAGTGCCTGGACTGAGAGAGGAAGGAGAGGGAACGTCTCAAACTGATAGCTTGAACCAGCAAACAGAGCTTGTCCGTCCTGTTTGCTGGTTCAAGGAAGAGGCCTCTGGCTGAGAAGGAAGGAGTCCTGGTCCCTCACACATAGCCTGGGAGCCTCATTCTTCCTGTGCAGAGCAGGGTGTGGTGGGTACTGGTGCCTTTTGGTTAATGGAAATTCTTTCTTTCTTCCGTTGTTCCAGGGGAAAGGCCATACAAATGTCAGACCTGCGAGCGAACCTTCACCTTGAAGCACAGCCTGGTTCGCCACCAGCGGATCCACCAGAAAGCCAGGCATGCCAAACACCATGGGAAGGACAGCGACAAGGATGAGCGGGGTGAGGAAGACAGCGAGAACGAGTCCACCCACAGTGGCAACAACCCCGTCTCAGAGAACGAGGCGGAGCTGGCTCCCAGCACCAGCAGCCACATGGCCGTCACCCGGAGCCGGAAGGAGGGCTTGGCCAGTGCCACAAAGGACTGCAGCCACAGGGAGGAGAAGGTCACGGCAAGGCGGCCGTCTGAGCCTGGCCAGGGTGACCTTAACCCAGAGAGCCCAGTGGCCCTGGGGCAGGACCTGCTGGAACCTCGCAGCAAGAGGCCCACTCACCCAACCCTGGCCACAGCTGACAGCACCTCGCAGCTCCCGGGGATGGAGTGACAGCCTCAGTCCCCCTCAGCACAGACAGAAGCCAGCAGAGCAAAGCGTCATGGGGTTTCCTCAGTGCCCTTCGGCTGTTGGGGAGTAAGAGAGAGAGAGAGAGAGAGAGAGAGTGAGTGCGAGAGACAAGCAGGAGCGTGGCTGCTCGCTCAGTGCCATAGCCTTACCGCAGCCTGCGCGGGAGGCCACAGCCCGTGCCGATTCCAGTGCCTTAACTACTTACCGGATCCCTCCATATTATCGTGGGTGTTGTATTTTTCCAAAATGACTTCTTAAACAAAACAAATAATTATAATGAATTGTCTGGAGAGGACCTCTTCATTTGAGCATTAGTGTTATTTTTTATTGGTGTGTGTGAGCTTGTTTTTGTGAATCTGTGATAGCACCGTTTGTTCTGTGAGCTGGAAACAGAAGGAAAAAACATACCCTTGGGTACCCATAGCCAATAACTGGAAGAAAATGATGTGAATTTCGTGTAAATGACCAGAGGAAAGATGAATAAGATGATAATTTCTTAAATAGACATTTTCCTTTTTTCTGTGTGCTTCATGGTGGAGCTGTCATCTGGTCCTTGGTATTACAGGATGTGGTTGATGAAGGTTTCCAATATGGTTTCAGGCCAAAACCAGGAAAGATTCTAGCTTCAGCCTCATGTCCGTTTCCACTCTGTCAGCATTAGACATGGTCACCGTTCAAGTTTCAAGACATCCATTCTTAACTATAGAGAAGAGTTACTCCCCTGGCGTCTAAACCTATGGAAAACATGCACGGATAGCATATATTTGATTGCCTCCTCTTCCCTTTCAGTATCTATATTATTAATATTATTATTATTATTATTGTTAGTTCATCAGTTTGCTGTTCTCTGCAGTGAGCAGAATCAAATGGGCAATATTTGTCCTGGGAGACCTGTGCCGCACCCGGGTCCCCGTGTAAACGTGTGCCTGCGGCTGTGGTTGGCACCCTCGGGTGGTAGCTCTTCTACTGTAATGAGACAAGCCTTTCTTCTGTCACTGCAGAATTTAGCAGGGCCGTGAGCAGTCTTCCCAGGCGTGGCCCAGGAGCAGCTCAGAGAGGGTGGAGTGAGGGTGCGTGCATCCAGGAAACAGGCGTCAAGAAGCCAGGGCCGTGCCTGGAGCACTGCAGAGATGACTGTGGAGAAAGCAAAGCAGTGACCCAGTGACCAGGCACGTTACTCGTGAGCGAGGTATTCCCAGTCTTCCTGCTAAGCCTAATCCACGCCTTACCCAGCTGTGCTACTGTCATTTGCAAAGCGAGGAAATACTACTACTGGTAATAAAACTACACATGCAAGATGTCAGATGAGAAATAGGTTTATATTTACCTTCCTGTGATGTGGAGTTGGTGCTTGAAGATAAATGTGCTGTTTCTAGTTTCTTAAATAGCCCAAACCCCTGGGTGCAAAAAGGCAGGATTCTTTTTACCCATAAGCATCTTTGGCAGGCAATAGACTTCCCTCACTGTCCCCGCCTGCAGGGAGGAAAATGTACCCCACTGCACCTGAGCTCCTGTCCCTCAGCCGAGACCTCAGGGGCCCCCAGCCAGCCTGCTGCTGGGGACCCCTGTGCTTGCTGCAGTGTGTGGAGCCTCTTGTACCCCAGCTGCTTTCCCCTGCCTTTTTCTGGCCCCAGTGCCCCTCCTTTACATAGACTTGTTCGCACAGAAACATGCACACCCCCTTTTCTCCACCGCTTCACCAGTTTCTGAAATCCAACCTCCCAGACTTCAAAGGAAGATAGATATTCTTGAGATAATGAAAAGTGATATCTTCGCATATGAAAGGAAAAAAGGTTGAGGTATATATGATTTTTAACTGTATTAGGGATGTATGAACCAGTTTAAAAATGAGGTTTTATTTACTGTAGAGATGAATGCAAATCAGAACCAATGATTCCTTGGTCTACTTAGTTAAAACCAGTTCATACATCCCTTAGGTTTCTTTTTTTATTATTACAGTTGTTATTGTTATTTTTGTTGTTATTATTTGGGGTTTCTTGTGTTTTTTCTCTGCGACTCTCCACACTAAACTCGCAATATTGTGGGGAGAAGCTGTGAGTAAACTCTACGCTGCGGTGAGATGTAGCAGTAATCAGCTCCCAGCGACGTGAGTAGCCGGGGCTGCCGCTCGCAATAATCACTATTGATTTAAAGCTTTACTTAGCCTTGATCTGTACCCTCGTAGTCAATAAGGTCTTGCCACATTTTATTAGTGAGGTGGAGAAACGTATTATTTGTTTGTTGTTTTTGCCCTTCCCCCACCCCCCAATATTAAACTGTGAAATTTGTGATTTGTTTAAACTCTGGGTGAATCATAGCTTAGTTTGCATGTCCAGCTAATTTGTTTCTATACATTTTGTTTGATTCTCTTTCTCCTTCTCTCAGGGCTTTTACAAAAAAATATATATATATGGATCTTCTGAAAAGTTTTTTGAGGTGCAAGTTTTTTCTTTTTTTTTTTTTTTTTCCTCATTGATTAATGGACATGATGCTGAGATTCAATCACTACATGAAACACCTGGCTGTGAAAACAGAACAACCCAGAGGGCTGTTTTCCAAGCAGCGCTGGGGAAGCTACAGAACAGCCGGATGCCAGTTTCGGGAGGATTCACCGTACGTTCTGACCCTCTGTTCGTCTCTTTCCTCTCCTCTTTCTTCAAGAAGGAAATTGATCCTAGTGATTTCAGCCCATGCATTAAACAGGAAACAATAATAAATTTGTAGAATGCATATTTTTCTAAAGGGAACTTAAAAACTGCTGCTACATGTTATGTACAAAACTGGTTTATGCCACATGAACAGAATCACAAGTTTGGTTTTGGTACTTTTTGTTCCTCTTTGTATTCAGTTGTATAGAACTTCCAAATTCAGAATGAGAAGAAAGCTGTTCTGTATCAAACCATCTAAGCAATAAATGTTATATTTTAAAAGCGGCAGATTGCCGGTCACGTGGCCGTCCTGTGATTTGTTGTGATCCCATCCCCAAACCCACAGCCCACTTGGGGCAGCCCCCAGGTGTGCGGTACCGTTGGAGGGAATCACAGGTGCCCAGGAAAGCTCTTGTCATCCAGGCAGCATTTTTCTTCGCTCTGGAGGCTGGGGCAGTGACTCTTGCCTATAATCCCAGCACTTTGGGAAGCCAAGGCGGAAGAATCACTTGAAACCGGAAGTTCAAGACCAGCCTGGGCAAAATAGTGAGACCCATATCTCTACAAAAAAATAAGTTTAAGAACTATCTGGGCATGGTGGTACACGCCTGTAGTCCCAGCTATTTGGGTGTTTGAGGTAGGAGGATGGCTTGAGCCCAGGAGTTTGAGGTTGCAGTGAGCTATGATCGTGCCTCAGCACTCCAGCCTGGGGGACACAGCAAGACCCTGCTGTATAGAAAAGCACTCGGCCGCACTTGTGAGAGCTACTTTGAGAGCATGTGGAAAGTTAAGTGGGTGGCCACTGTCAGAGCTTCAGAGTGGAGACCTTGGTGTTGGGTGCACAGGGCCAGGATACTGGACCCAATGGGGCACCACGGTGCAGGCCACTGTCATTGGCTAAAGCCAGCATTTTTGTTTCCTGTGCAATAATGCCTAAGAAGTCTGCCTCACCTCTTCTTCCCCCAACCCAGTTGTAAGTGATTTAGTCAGCACCTAGTGGAGGGAGAACAAAATCTGTTAGTGTGACCAGATTTTGGTGAGACGGGAGGGGACAACAACCCTAGGGCTGGGGACGGTGCAGGTTAAAACTCACATTTGGGTAAAATAGCAATCAGCAGAGCTTCAACTCCTGTAACTAGGGAGTGGCTCTCAAAAAGCAACACTGGGGGCCGGGCACGGTGGCTCACACCTGTAATCCCAGCACTTTGGGAGGCCGAGGCAGGCAGATCACGAGGTCAGGAGATCGAGACCATCCTGGCTAACCTGGTGAAACCCTGTCTCTACTAAAAATACAAAAATTAGCCGGGAGTGGTGGTGGGCGCCTGTAGTCCCAGCTACTTGGGAGGCTGAGGCAGGAGAACGGTGTGAACCCGGAAGGCGGAGCTCGTACTGAGCCGAGATCACGCCACTGCACTCCAGCCTAGGCAACAGAGCAAGACTCTGACTCAAGAAAAAAAAAAAAACAACACTGGGCCAGGAGTGGTGGTTCACACCTGTAATGCCAGCACTTTAGGAGGCCAAGGTGGGAGTATCACTTGAGGTCAGGAGTTTGAGACCAGCCTGGTCAACATGGTGAAACTCCATCTCTACTAAAACTACAAAAAAGTTTAGGTGTGGTGTGTGCCTGTAATCCCAGCTACTCAGGAGGCTGAGGCACGAGACTCCCTTGAACCTGGGAGGCAGAGGTTGAGTGAGCTAAGATGGCCCCCATTGCACTCCAGCCTGGGCAACACAGTGAGACTGTCTCAAAAAAAAAAAAAAAAAAAAAAAAGCAACACTGAAAGAAGTTGGTTTTGGAGGCGGCTGATGGTGGATAATGCTAAAATGCATTGAGTGTAGTTGTACCATACACTACTAAGTGCCACCTCACTGCAGGACCAGAGCTGTGGCTGTGGTCCTTAAGCTTTTTCAGGCCCCTCTGTTGAAAGGCGGAGAATTTAACACACATTTATATGTGGGAGCTTGGGGAATCCGCATGCCTGCGTGGGCGGTGGCTGGTGGAGTAGGCGGAGTACTAGCCCTGGGTAAGCGGATCTCAAACCTCAGATCCTCCAGCCCAAAGACATAGCCAACCGCCTGCCCTGTGTTAGGGATGCAGGGCAAAGAAGTGGCCATGAGCGTGCCGCTGGGGACAGGCTGGCTGGCATGAAAATCCCAGCTCTGCCTCTTGGGGCTGGTGAATGGCCTTGTGCCTCAATTTCTTCATTCCTAAGAAGGGGATAGCAATAGTACCTGCCTCATGGGCATTGTTGTGTGGATGCCATGAGTTAATTATATAAGGTGCATGTTAGGGGCTCTCATTATTGTTTCTACAGAGTCTTCTCATAGGAATGCTTCGTTGGTTCCCTGGTGAAGTAGTGGGTAGAACTTCACCACACGCATTCATGGCACACTGTGGGGAACGGCCAGTGGAGGGCCTCATGGGAGATCACCAAGACGCACTATCCTCAAACCCTGGGGAGTCTTGCCACCTTCTCCTACCTGGCCTCCTCTGGCCCTGTAATCCCACTACCTTCCCGCTCAGCCTGTGGCCTCCCCATGGCCCCAGGACTCTGCCTGGGTCTTGGTGCTTATCCAGCATCCCCACCCTGCACCAAAGCCTATTCCACTGGAGGAGGGCATGGGGCATGGGGAATGGGGATGGGGGAGCTGGTG